GAATTCACGAATTTGATTGGCTGAAATCAATGTTGAAAGCGGTCTAGATTTTCCCATCTAGACCGGCATCTAGACCGGTCTAGAAAAAAAAGGTACAAAGAATATAAAAAATTGGCATATAAGACACAGCCATATAATAAACATCTTATTAACCGAGCTAGGTCGGCCGTCGGTCTGTATGGGAGAATCTTGACCTCGGTCGCTGGTACAGACCTCACTGCGTTCGGTTTGTACTGGCGACCTCGATCAAGATTCTCCCATAAAGACCTCCCGCTCGGTTAATAAGAACTAAGTAATGGGCCACTATACAAACACATTTGTATCAAAAAGTCATGACAACTTCAGTCCGAGTACTTCCTTTAGAGGCACCTTGCGAAAACTCTGAGAAAACTCTGGCCATGACCTATATATTTTGGAAAATTGGAAACATGAAGAAAAATAAGAGTAAAATTTGGCAGGTATACCACCACCGGGTCTGTGTCACGAGAGTGAAAGTATCAAGCAACATAGAGAGTTACCTATCCTGAAATGATTGTTTGCTGCGGTAGACAAACATCATAGTGGAACGGGAACGAAGGAGAAACTAGGGACAACTGTTAAGGAGGGAAAAGATGAACACTGAAAACGGGTCGAAAAACTAATACTGATCTTGTCATGGGTGGCGGAGCAGCGGGGGCAAGGGGGGCTACAGCCCCGCCCAAGCGAAAATTTTGGGGGGGTGGCTCAGCCCCCCCATTTATTAGTGCCAACGAAACGTCAAATTAGAACCAATCGAACGGTTTTGTTTAGATGCAAACTCTTTTTCTCTTTTCAAAATGTTCAGTCAACTTAAAGTAGCAGAATATTAACAGTTTCAAGTAACATGTAGCCGTAGCTAGTTTCTAATCTTACAAATATGTTTCTTTACATCACCAGTCTGAAATTTTTCAAATTCATTTTCAAAGCATTCTATTGTTATCCGTGTTATCATATAAGGGGCAAAATTACTGAATTGTGATTGGTCGAGACAGAGGGCATTTTTTATTAATTTTTGTAATTGCCCCGGGCAAAATTACTTGAAAATGATTGGCTGAAAATCGCTTAGCAACGGCTGCCAAGGTAAAGAAATTTTTGTTTGTTTTGTAAGAAGGGCGTCCCGTTTTGCGCGAGATCAATAAGAAAACAATTTTCCCCTCATATTATAAACAAGTAATCACATGGTCCCTCGTAAAATTACTTCCGAAAACACGCGTGATATTAATCCTTAATTTTACTCGGCCCAATGCGATTACCTATACTTAAAACTATTATCCTCTAATCTAAGTGGCTGTGTAAAACTGCAATAGTAAAAAATGCAAGACACTTGTTCATGGGTGTTGTTCTTTGTTCTAGTCAATTCATGATTCGATTTTAGAGTTTGCATAAAGCGGTAATTCCTTTTTTAACGAATAAACTACCTGTCAAATGCCAAGTGCACATGCATGCAACAATACCAGCAGTTTGCATTCTCCCAGAGCATGTTGGGTATTCTGTGACCCAAGCATGACAATTCTAAATGCCGGGGTCAGTATTTTCATCTTCAGATATCATCAGACGAGTAGCTTTATAATAATGTCTAGGATTGATACTTAACTAGCTTGACATGCCCTCTATACTGAGTGAAGGTATGTAACGATCCTGATATATCTGTTTTTCACTTTATTTAACCTTTTTGCTGACAAAATCCATAAAGTTTAAATTCCGGTGATTTACAAGCAACTTGGCTTACAGGAAATTTGTCGTAATAGCTCAGTCTATCACAACTCTAGAAGAAGCGAAACGCTTTATCAATTCAACATCGAAGCAAGCAGTTTATAATACTTGCTTTAAAAACTAGCCTGTTGATATCTTCAAGACACTGTAGCGAATTCTTTGATCAAGTTTTGCTTTGTCTGTTTTACTTATTCGTCGCCAGTCCTTCACCATCGCGCTAAACGAAAAGGGTTGTAGGCTATGAAGAGTACGTTCATAAAAAAAAAACTATTTGCTATCTTTTTTCATTTAAAACATTTTTTAAAAATGTGGCTCTGCTCTCGTAAATTTATGCAGGATTTTCAAAAGGTCTTCAAAACCATGTGCATAAAAGCGAAGAAGTCGTCTTCGCACCCGTTAACTAGCACTTTAATACCTGTAATTTTATCAAATATACCTGTTGAAAATAATTAAAAAACATTTTAGAACTTTTTTTCGATTGAAAACGTAACCTGTATTCAACTGGGTGCCATTTCAATTGTTTAAGAGCTAAGAAATTCCATCACGAGAATGGTCCTAGTTTTGACTGTAAATTCTTCCGGCATTTTCCAGCGGTGAAAACTCAAACCGCTGCCAACCTCACTGATTCGTGAGCCCACATGCACAGTATAGCAACCTCAGTGATTCGTGAGCCCACATGCACAGTATAGCAACCTCAGTGATTCGTGAGCCCACATGCACAGTATAGCAACGTCAGTGATTCGTGAGCCCACATGCGCAGTAAAGCAACCGTCGGTGGTCGGATTGCGCCGGTTCATGATACTGTTAAATTAACTTGAGAGTGACGAACGGTGGCCTTTGTGGTCTACACGATTTACTACGGGTTAAGAGTTCCGGGTTGGAGCGCTAGTAGTATAATGAGGCAGTATAGAGGAAAGCCAATCAGAAGCCAGTCTTAGTCACTTTATGCTCTGGAAAATAGGATAAGCTCCATCCTCCAGTTCTTTACGCGACTCGACCCAATCCTCCCTCGCTGTTTTCATGTACCGCTATTATCGCGTCGCTCACTATTTCGTTCTGTTTCATCAACTAAACGCCTGAAACAGGGTAAATGAGCCACTAGCATTCACAGTACGGTCCATTTGAACCCAAATGAGACATTTCTTTCTATTCTGCCAGACCTATTAAATGGAGAGCGTTCTGAGACTAGCGTGTGCCTTTTTGCTGATGGGCGTCGCCTTCAAATTCGCTGTCTCGACTGAATATTCACCATTTGTCATTGTGCATTCAGTTCCAATCATAGAAAAACACCCAGAATCCTGTACGGTTCAGTTGGGAAAAGACTGTAAACTTTTCTGCCATGTTATGGGCAAGAATCTCAAGTATCGCTGGTACAGAAGATCCCGATGCCTGGAGGGGGAGGTTGGTAACACTTCTTTCACTGCTAAGGTCATTTGAACGAACATTGGTCACGATATTTAATGCAGTTACACGGCCTATTTGAAAGGAAACAATGATGCGCTTTTCAGTATCACGTGAACAATGGAAGAGGATGTAAACCGCCGCTTAGCTCAGGTTGTAGAGCAAGTTGTAGGAATACGAATTTGAGGAATCTCGTACTTCTTTCATTTGTTCCGTAAGCTTACTTGGAAAAGAATGAGGAAAAGGCTGTTGACTGATACGTTGGATAACCCACCGAGGCTTTAGATAACTTACACAACTAACGAATGACAGCCTTGAGAAATATGGGCCTAGTCAAAATGATGAAAGCCCCAACATAACCTAATGTAAAAGTCCCTCCCAGAACTTTTCTTTGTCCCAGAGTGAAATATTCCTATAATTAGGTCAAATTTTTTTATTTATTCAAAGATGAAATAATTAAGGTCTATTCTGGCTAACTATATACTTCACTGTTTTTATCACCAGACCTCTTCAGTACTCCATATAAGGAAAGCCGCCATGAATGACGCCGGACAGTACTCCTGCATTATATCGAATGACAAGGAATCTGTGATCACGTGGGCAACCGTTGACGTCATTTCCGTTATTTCTTCCCCTAAAGTTAGATAGCAAATAAGAAAGCGAACTTTTGTTCCATTTTTTGTGTAGACTTGAAGTTGTTTAGGAGCCTTTTTATATATTCATCAATCATTTACTTTTTGTTAATCGATATTTTTCTCCAAAAACGCCAGGTCAGTTTATAGTCAAGATGATATATGGAGAGCATTTCAGGGTGATCCCCGGTGTAATAGCCACAGCTGACGTCATGAGTCGCGTACCATCAGACTTCAAATAAAACCAAAGTAACTTGAAGAGCCAATCAGAAGAAAGGAAGTTATCACAAGGAGCCAATAAGATCGCAAAGTAAAAAGCCCGGGAAGGTGCGAGTAAGCAAGCCGCGATTAAGTTAAACTTAAACCTGGGTGAAAAGATGTCGCGAGTTTTCTGAACCAATAACACAGAGAGGTAAAACAAAGTAAAGGAATCCTGGATAACTTTCGACATTGTATTAAGTATGACCTTGACTCCATTTCATGGTTTAAGCAAGCCACAGTGCAGCCAAACGCCTAAATGCGCTAGGAAACCAGCAAAAAAAAAAAAAACAAACAAATAAACAAACGAAAAAAACCAATAAGCTCTTACTGACGAGCTCAACATAAAAAAATTATTTTTCCCTTTTTCTTATCTCTAAAAATGCAAGAAATAAAACTTGAGCCCATGACCAGGCTCTCACTAGCGCTGCAGGTCGCGCGTTTCTCCGTCCGCGGTAAGCTTTGAGACGAGTCGGGGAGAGATTTCCCGGGGGTCTGACACCAATAGCAGTGCTAGACCCTTAGCAGATCTCTCGCGGGCTCAAGTTGTTCAAGGTCTCGTACTTTCCTGCGCTCGTGGACAGGGCTGAAAAATGAAATGCTACATTAGAGGGTATGCGGTCATTAACGCGGGCTCAAGCGTTCTAGGTCCAAGATTTAGCGAAATTAGTGGAAAAAAATATGGGCTGACATAAAACTTAGGCATTTTGTTTTCGTCAAAGGCATTTTCCTATTTCGAGAGTGCGCCAAGGTTTTGGAGGTTGTTCTGTAAAAAGAAAAGCGGCAAGGAAAACGACGCCTCGAAGCAACAAAATAGGAAATCAACCCCGCAAACGACTCAAAATCCGTTTTCCGCGGCAAAACTTAGCGCATGTACATACGTTATTCAGTTCTGCCACGCTCGTGCTGAAGTGCTAACTCTGAGAGCATGCTCGTAAGCTACTTAAACTTAAATGGGTGTTGACGTCACCAACAGCAATCAAATGTCGAAAATGAAAGATGAGAGTTTAAAAGATAAAACTACTTTATTATCTAAACACCAATGAAATACCGAGAGAGCTTTAGCGGAAAACATGATATCTTCACTCGTGAAGATAAAATGTTACCTTTTCGTGAAAAGATCATGGATCTTCGCGTTGTAATTTAGTGACATGTTTTACATTGAAATGATTTGGTATTTCATTCGTATTTATATACTAAATGGAATACTACATGGGCGCCTTGAGATACAAAATTTCTCTTCTTGTGTCGAAAAATATATCTTTAAAATCAAATGCGGCCTTTTACTAAATGGAACCGTTCGACTGGCCACATCAGCGTGGAAGGCGGACGAGGAGGTCTGGAATCCAGTGCTAATGCAAGTTAGCGGAAGTTAGCGCAGCCGAGCGCAGCTGAAAGAATTTGAAATCGTTTTACAATCACATGTATATCTATCTACGCGTGAATAACTAAAAAAAAGGTGCCTTTTTCAAAGTGACCATAGCAAAAATCTGCCACAGCGCTCAATGTTTCAGTATCCATTAGTTAGAATTCTCATTGGCTTTGCTATACATTCCCTACCGCTGAAAAAATCCATTTTCACTCACCTGCCGGTGATGGACAGCTTGTATTATCAAAATCGGAAAAAGTGCATTCGAAAAATAATAATAAAAAAGGGACCAAGTAACTTTTAATGGCCACTAATCAAATTGCTTTTTTTTCCTTTTTTATTTTTATTTTTTTCATTGAAATGGGTGCAGCAACTTGTAAGTGCATCTCAAAGCCAAATTGATGGACGCAACCCTTAAATGATCGCGATGCGGGGTCGATTGGAGCCGCAACGCTAATTGAACGACACATTTGGAAACCTATAAAACAGAACACCATATTGAGCACTCTGCAGATCATTTTCTTGTCCTAGAATTAAAATGTTCATCATTGATGTTTCGCAAAATCCACTGGCTAATGAGAGATCTGTCAGCCAATGGCGGTTTAAAGTGGAGAGTAAAGCTCTCAAAAACATCACTAATTAAGTATGCTGCTTTCGGGTGTTTGTTCAAAGTTCTTTAAAAGCCAGAGAATGGAAATTTCATATTCAATTTGCAATTCTTTCGGGTCGGACTCACTTGTGAGCAGAATATCACAAAGGGCTACTCGACAAAAGGTAGGTGAGATTAAAAAACCGAAACAGGCGCCCAACACAATTTGATAACGATGAATAGGAGATCCGATTCGCGAACAGAAACAGAAGAACCACAAAATTTATGCCACTTTCTTCGGTATAGACACGGAGTCGAACATAGAGGAACCATGGTTATTGTGGGTAGAATAGTGCTTCATTGGCACGAAAAGCGCTCTGTAGGTTTGTTCTGTTCAAATTGATATCACAAGAATAAAAAAGAAATAAATTATAAAATTCTGTTGAATCACTTTTTCCGCGTTTGCGGGATTTTAGAAGATGAGATTACCTGCCGGTCGCTTCCGACCTTCGAATGAGGTCATTCATAGTTTGCCTTCGTTTAGCTGCCTCAGAACATTTCAGGATCTGGCATGAAACAGATCGCTGATGCATTGTTTCTACTGCCGACGTTTAATGTATGGGAATACTAGATAAAGAAATTTTTTTCAAGGTTTTATCTAGGACATTTGTATCTTAGTTTATAATTTTAAGAGAAAGTTATATTTCTCTTTTAATCGACTGCCATCTATCCGGTTGGTTAACGCTATTCCGCAACAAACATAGATTACAAAAAAAAAAAGAGATTAAAAATCAGTTTTATTATTAAATATTCCTCACGAACGGGAATCCTTTACGTGATCGTGCGAACAAAACCAAATAATTCCCAAGTGACTCCCACTCGGTTTCCATTTTATTCCGACAAGAAGGCACTATATGCCGATGACAACAAGACATCTTTCTGAAAAAAAAAAAGACGAATGCGACATTATTGGGCCAAACTTAAAGTAGAGCTTTCTTAAAAAAAGAAAGAAAGGATAATAAAGAAAAGGAAAAAAAACTGTCTGGTAAGGTTTCCAAGAAGACGACTGGGTTGGTTTCCAATAGATTTTTTTGACGTGTAAAATGAACGATGTAACCATCCTCCACGCAGACAACATTTGCCTTTGCTTTCGGCAGCAGTCTAACTTTTACAAGTCGATAGAGACACAGTTCTTTCGTTAGCCTCGCAATATGAATATTTTGTTTTATGAACTGACGATCTTTTAGCAAGATCCGCGTATCTCTGTCACTTTTAATTGGTTCCATGCGAAACAGATGTGCCCGGAGAATGCTTCTCCATCTAAAACCTTTTCACTTTGGTGATCAAATAGAACTAATGAAGGACTGTTAAACACATTCAAGGCAAACCATTCGGGATGGACTGTTCGGTGACGTATATAAATTAGGTAAAACCGGGTAAGGACTTTGTTTTGTGTCACAAACCAAACATGACTATCTCGACATCACCATCTCACATTGTAATGCTTGACAAAGGCGGCGTAAAAAGGTACACATACGATACTCAAACTCTGGACGTAAAAGCGGTTTACATCCACGAACAAAATTACTTTTGTGCGTGGTGTACTTAAAATGGTTTCTGGAATCAAACTGGTTTGTATTTCAGCCGAAATTTTCCAAGAGAGTTTGTTGAGGATAGCTATACAATGTTTATTCCTAAAACCAGATGCCTTTGTTTCTATAAGCAAACGAAACGAGCTTATTAATCAAACAAGTAAGTATTAAACTGACATCTGAATAAAACGTACGAAACATTCAATTTCGCAGGTATTTTATGAAAACATTCAAAATTAACGTTGCAAAATCGGAAATGATAAGAAATTTACAGAATTGTAAATTCAAAACCGCATTTCAGACAACATAAAGTTTGGACCGACGTTAAAATGCAATCTGTACTAGAAAAAAATCCAAATCTGCCCGATTCTTTTATTAGCATCCACGAGGTAATAGGCTTTTTTCTTCTTTCATAAATTCACGGCCTATAACACCTGTTCATGCTCTTCATTAGATTTGTTAACAGCATGGCCGGTCGGGAAGTATACTTCACTGTCCATTGACAGCTCATACAAAGTCAGTCAATAACAATTGCAATGTCTTGAGAGAAATTAGTTTTACTATAAATAGCAGACGCAACAATATTTCCCAACAAGTTAACAAGAGGAGTTGAAATTGTCTAACGGATATAAAAAAAAAAAATGTTTTGATTGTCGGGGAAGGTTTTGTTCAAGAGAGCAAATTCTCGAGTTATTTTTAAACGGACAAATGATCAAAGCAGAAATAACGAAATTTCTACGGCAAATGAACCAGATCATTTTGTTTTAGTATCATTTGATATCTCCATAAAACTGGACGTAAACGTCAGTGAAACTAAAACCGAGTGAAATTGTCGGCCAGAGCAAACGCGCTGAAAGTTGTCGTGTCAATAGCGCAAAGGAGAGGGCACACCGCGTTTCTTATAGGTAAATTCATCAGTCCAGCGTTAATGGTTTTAATGGACAGCAAATCGTAAAATGGAATAATGTAGTCCAAATTAAAGTGAACATTTCAAGCGCCATCAGGCAGTTAGGATGTCAGCTACGCGCATGATTCAGCCGACATCCCAAACCAGACACCTGCGAACCTAAATTGCGGTTGGCTTGGCGCGTCCGTTAAAAGAAATAACAAAATGACTGCTAAATAACCACGAGTATCGCTTAGTTTAAATTGCCTATAAGCCTTGAGATAAAGTTCAATCAATGATCTGCTCTTAAAAAAAGACCCCGCAGAGCGTGTATTTCATAATGCGGGCATGATAAAAGAAACCGGTTTGTTCCTTTCAAAGAACCGGAATAAAAAAAGGCGCATCTTACAATATAATAAAAAAACAGTTTTTCTCACACAAATTTGAAGAACCGTTATAATTGCTTTCTTGCTTCTTCACATGCACAGTGGAAACATCGTGGCTTAGAAGGTGATGCATAATTATTCGAGGTTTATTAGTTCATGTCATTTCGCAGCGAATGTGACCGACAACGGAGCTTCGGGACATTAGGGACCGTAAGAAACCACAACGGCGACGCCAAGGAAGACTTCGATTAAAAATGAATTTCTATTATAATGGCTGCAGGAGCTTACTGTTTCATACAGCGCCACAGCTCAACTTCAGCATGACGTATAAAGTAGCCGTTGAGTTCCAAATGGAAATTAAAATAATTTGCCGCCGCGGTTTCGGTTCGCAGACGACGCAAATTTTGGCGATTTCACGTTGTTGTTTTGCATAGGACGGCTAAGAAATGTACAAAGTTTCAAAACGTACGTGCTGAGCTATTGTTCTGCCAATTAGATCTCTTGTTTTTCCACGTCCTCGTTGCCGTCGCCGTCGTTGTTTCTTAAGGTCCCTAATATCTCATCAGTTGCAAACAATACTAACATGTTGCCTTAGATCTCAGTCTAGCGCAGTACAGTTTGTAACTTATATTATGATCACTTTGTCGGGTATTATGACGCATTTTGCGGACTACAACGAATATTTTGGCAGGGGAAAAATGCTCGCACACCCGCGCGATTGTTCAGACTGTTTTGTTGTCCTTTTTTTTTTTTTTTTTCAATATTTATTCTCTGAATTCCCTCCAGAGTGGGCATAAATACGTTTTAGGCCCTTCTCTGACTCTGGGTCGGACTCAAAACCTATTTATGCCCGGGATCATAAACTCTATCGTTTCATTACGCAGCGGCACACGTTAACTTTATGCACAGCATCCTTTCTTTCTATTAAGGAAAGGCTGGTGCGATAAAAACACAATAAAGCAACGAAACTATCGGAAAAACTAAAAGCTGCTAAGACGTACCATTGGCATCATACCTCTAGCAAAAGATTATTAAACTGCCTCTTGCCAAATGCTTGGAATGCACCTTTTTCTAGCTGGTCCGCTTTAAGAAACTCGACAGTATGTTTTATTTTGATACAATGATTTCTTCAGAAGACTTAAATACTTATTGCAATGAAGCTAAATACACCATTAGGAGTTAAAAACTGACTTGTGATTTCTGATTAATTCGGGGTAGGACTTTTTCTTTGTAACTGCGTCTTGAGTCATATGATATCGTGCGAAGTGAAAATCGCTGGCAAAAAAAAATGCGCGGGAACCTCAGGTAGAGGACACCTCAAGAAGATTACACGGACGAAATATATCAAACAAGCAATAAACTGATAACGCGGTAACGGTGCACATGTCAATCAAGATAAAGCCGGGAAAAACCATTTGATAACTGTGATTTGAATTGACCTTGGGTTCAGTCGTGCACTCTATCATGATCATGCCCTTGGGATGTTTAATAAACTGCACGGTAGAGAACACTATCTGACAAAAAATGGCGTGATGAAATCTTAATATCACAAAATACTATTCAAATCTGGATCGCAATCAAGAAAACTCAGAGATAAAATGGCAGCACAACACTTCAGCAAAAGTAAATGCCATTGGGGATTTATCTAATATTTCGAACAGATTTCAAGTGAGTGTCGAAAAAACCAAAACTAAACTAATCTCAGCAACCAATCGGAACAAGGTTTACATTACCACTAGCCAATAAGAACTCAAAGTGAAAACAAGCAAAGTGCTTGAAACGCGGGAAAACGCGGACGACCAAAGTCGCTATCGTTTTTAGCTTTGCATCTGATTGGTTGAGGGGATGGCACGAGTTTTCTGGACCAATCACAGAGCAAGGTTTTGTTAAACCAAAGAAAGGTCAGATCACTTTCGACACTGAATTGAACATTTCTTTAACGTGGAAGAAAAAAATAAACAGGATCATAATAAGTGGATTGCCATTATCGCTCCTCGTTGGTGAAAATTATGCCCGGAAGAGATTTCTGATAAGGAGGGCATGTTTCTCGTCACGTTTACTTGAAACAAAAATGTATTTGTCGTAAATTTGTTTTTCACCTGTTTGAATCTCAAATGACCGATTTAGATGAAAGAAAACGTAGCTTCTTTACTTTATTTTAATGCAGTTTTTGCCGCCTCGAATCACTAGCCTTATACAATTACGTACTAAGAGTTCACCATCAAGTGTCGATGATCCAGAGATTTGCAAATTGTGATATATTGTTACGATGATCTCATGTCAGCATCGTTATAACGTGTTATGTCCGTTATAACGTGTTATGTCCGTTATAACGTGTTATGTTCGTTATAACGTTTCCACGCAGAAAAATATAATGTAGCTGAAGATCAAGATCTATTTACCGGAACTGGAAGATGGCTGAATTGAAAGTCTATTGATAGCGAACATAGCACTTTTCTGTTCTCTACACTGTTATATTTGTATTGGATTTTTCGATTATTTTCTTTTTTCATCATCCCGCGCAGAGAGTAATAAATTTCAGTTGTAAAATTATTCTGTTTTCCGCTCAAATGCGAAAGTTTTTTAATGAGGGGATTTCTTAAGTTCGACTTTGGCCTCCAGGGAAAGAGAAATTTACATTTTTTGATACATAATGAGTTTTAAGCTGCTTCCCACTCTGAAAGGGTTGTTAGTCCAAAAATATCGTCTGAAATTTAACCTTAAGAGCCTTTTAATTTTTGGAACCATAGAAATTGTAATTTAGTCGGTTTTAGTCGCAAATTGACAAACCTCAATCAAATTTTATACACCAGAGTAAATAACGAAAAATGGTCAAAAAAAGTTCATTACACGAACCTTAATAAAACCCTGTGCGATACACGTCAATCAATTGAAAGAAACACAAATTTGATTGACAGGTTTTGGATCATAATTTGCCTTGCATTAAATCCATTAGAACGAAACAAAAAATGGGACTGATATATTTATGTTATACGGCATATTAATCATTCGGGTAAAAGCTAAACATTAAACAGCAGATCTGACTCGAGACTAACAGTTGAAAAGAATCGGTGTCTTGTAATAGAAAAATGATGTCCTCGATCCGTCTTTACCCTTACTTATTGTGAAGTAGTTACACAAAGATCAGAAATTGATGGCCGAGGTTTCAGCGTCACTAATTCAACGCAAAATAATATGGAAGACGCAAACAAAGACAACCAAACTTTTCAAACGTCTAATCTTTAGCAACAAAAAAAGCAATTAAGCATACGCCAGTTGTGTATGTACCCATTTGTGCCAAGACTCTTGTCTATAACCAAACGTTTCTTAACTTAAAAGGTCAGTCAAAAGAAAGCGTTGCCATTATAATCAATTACAATAGCAGTTGGGTTGAGACATTCTCTTCGGTCATGTGCGGTTTTGATGGAAATTCTTTTATGTGACGCTCTATTCATTAGGTATTTCCTGTCCAAAGTGACACTATCTTCCCAGAGGATAAGGGATATGAAAAAACCATGATTATCCTGAACAGGTTGGGTCACCGTACGCCAGGTTTGTTGTAGCAATTGATGATGAGTGGAAACTAACAGAGCATGGCGAATATTTCGCAACCCATAAGGATTTGAGGAAGTGCTCCCACAGACTTCACCTCCGTTCGTATTGACAAAACATTCATATGGATTTATTTCTAAAGAAAAGAAAGGTGCGGAACAACAGCAAAACACAATGTTCTACAGTGTTACCATATGCGCTCAAAAACAGTCATTTGGTATTTTCAAATTTCCGCTTTTCACGAGTTAGAATTCAGCATTCTGAGAAACTTTCGACGCCTTAAGGAAAGAGAAAATTATCGTGCGAAAGCCTCTTTCGTGGATGTTGCTTCAAGGTAAGTCACAAAATATCGACTTATAATTTGCCTAAATTCATCGCTTGCTAGTCGAATGATCATATATCCTATGATATGGCGCCGATTATCCGAATGTAACATCATTCGTAAGGAGGTAATAAACGTTAAGAGAAAACTGTCGGGAAGGCGTATATTACTCGAAAAAAATACATTAGATAAATTATTGTAATTTCTTAATCCCCTAAAACCATTGTTTACTTTAGCCTTCGCTTGGTTTGATCGAGAAAATATCTTAATTTGGTGAAATTTGCTATGTCAAAATTCAAAGTTTAAGTCTAAGCGTTGAACAGAGAAAAACTGACACGCGAAAAGAGTCGTGTTAAGCTTTTCGGTTTGAGACAAGTAGTCCATTCTTAGACATTTAACGCGAACAAACACTGCTATCGACTCATTTCTCGAGAAAAGTTCTGGGCTCGGTGTACTAATTAATGTAATTTTAGTCACCCAAACAACAACATAACACTCTACGAGGACGACTTCGAAAAACAAAAATGTCCTCGCTTATTCAAAAACTGTCATGACTTAGTTATAGCTAAAGCAGAAAGTAACGATATCGGAAAGGTGAATAATTTGACTGGAAAAAATAGAAATCCCTGTAGAGTGGGACTCGAAGCATATTTCACTAAAAGCGTGGGTTTTGGCACGAACACACCTGCCCATGTTTTGCGACAATATTTATGTCGGGAAAGGTGAAACCCTTGAGTGAAATTACACCCAAGACAAAAAGCGAAAAAACAACAGTCACAAGAAAATTTATATTTCCTGCATGAAAGATACTGACATCCAAACATGGCCAACACAATGTATCTTTCGTGTTGAAAAAAACCCACACAGCGATTTCTCTCAGATTCTTTATTTGTAAAATTATAAACATACAGTCTTAACGAAAAGCTTGACTATTGTTAGAGCTTTGCTTACAAAGTACATCAGGACTTTAACAAGTTTACCGAGTAACTGGACAAAAAATGATAAAAACTGGCTTTTTGCGCCTGAACTTAAACCTACGCGATGAACCTGGAAAAGCTTCATTGGAAAAGCTTCAATGTAATGGCGATGGCCCTTGACTATTCTGTTGAGACACAAATGGACACCGAATACAATTGACGAACACGGAGTCTGAACTCAAGCATGAAATTTGCGCAGGATCTATACTTGTTTGAAAAGAAAAATTGTCAGCTTTATACAAAATCAAAGAAAACTCAATTGTCAGCAATAATTGTCGAAAAAAAACCAGCTCGAGTCAGAATTTTCTTGAACCAATCATAGTCTCTTCGGTAACTGTTTTTTTCTAAGGGTTCTTGAAAAATGTTCTCCATGAGAAGTCTCCTTGTTCAAACTTAGGACTGTTCATAAGAAAGAACTTCTAGATGAAAACTTTCTGAAGTAAAAGCAATTCAAAAGAAATTATACTGGACGTACTTGTTGTATTAGCACAGGATACCCAGACGAGTGTTCCAACCCTTTTCGTTACAACTCCCAACTCAAATAAGTTGTCTGATTAGAGGAAAACGTGCCACGCGTCATAAGTCAAACACTCACTAATTTCCGAGGAAGACAACAACTTGAATTTTCGACTCGCAAGTGATCAGGTCGTGCGCTTTGAAACCGCGGCAAGTTTGTGTGCAGCTGGCGTCGACACAATGAAGTTTTTGGCAGTCATGGCTGCTAAACATTTTGAAATTTCGATTTTTTTTAACCTTAAAACAAAAGCAATTGAAAAAGGTTTATGACTGATTTTTTTTACCGCAAATTCCAATATCTGTGAAGCTTAGATTTTTATTCTTATCAACTGTCTGGATTTGCAACATTCCGATTCTTATCCTTTCTCGTCATTCAACAGCCATGAACAACAGGGGTTCAGAAGCTCTGTTCCAAGCGAGCTCGTCGTGCAAACTTCGTCTCGTGCGCATGCTTGTGGAAGGAGGAACCTCAGTCAACGTTCGTAACGAGCGTCAGGAGACACCGCTAATGCTATGCTGTCAATCCAAGACGGACATCGATGAGAAAAATCGAGTTTTGAGTTACTTACTCAGCCAACAAGCCAAGGTAAACTTGCAAGACGTCGACGGTCGGACAGCTCTGATATACGCTTGCATTTCAAACTCTGGAAAAGGAATCATCCAGGCTTTGATGGATGCAAAGTCTAATCCATGGATGGAAGATATCAGCAAAAATACAGTGTTTGATTATGTAATGAATGCTGGGGATTTGGAGACCACGAGACTTTTAATTAATGCTTGTCGTGAAAACATGGAAATACGAGGAAGTTTTCAAATGGAAAACTTAGAAGAATGCCTTGCTAATATGCAGGAGATTCGCAAATTCTCCTGGCCATTGATGGGCCCTAGGTCACGGAGAAATCACATGAACTTGTATGCTGCTGAGAAAGAAGACTCTTCCATCTCCAGCGGAAATCTCTTGGGCGCTGATTTAGGGGGTGACGGCGAAAATCCTCAACCTGAGCGACGAAGGAAAAGATCTGTGTGTCACTTTGATCCGCTCGATATTCAAGAAATATTAAATTGCTCAGAACAGGCTGATACAAATAAATCAAATACAGAAAGGGAGCAAGAAGGTAAAGCCGAATTAGAGGAGAAGCGAAAAACTTCTGTTCGTTCACTTTCAGAGGAGGAGAGGTTCAATGTTCAGATTTCTGATACAGAAACCTTGCCGCGTGACCCTTCATCTGGGCTTGAAAAACTGCTAAAGTTACACGATTCATTCGGTTCTTCTGATTCAAACGAGTACCCTTGCTCAACAAGTGATAGTCACAGTAATTCATTGACGACAGCTAGCTTCTCTTGTGCGAATCTACACTCTCGGAAAGAGGAAAACTTGATGCAAGAAACTGGTTTTCCAAGTTTAGAAAAGATAGAAGATATCACAAGCGACAGCGTACCAAAGATGCCTGAAGGCGATTATAAGAGTGAAAACGCTAGATCATTCGCAGGTGATGAAACACATAAATCTGCTCATTCAAACGAGAAGAATAGAACAGAAAACCCTGACGAGCAGGAAAAACTTTTCATAGCTCGCAATTTCTCTATGAGTGTGATGCACAACGAGAACTGCTCATCATTTGCCGAGGCCTCTATTCAAAGTCTAAGGCATGTTAATATGGACTCCGCCGTGGATAGGGCTTTTTTGGAAAACGCAGAAAACAGGTCAAACCGGATTGTATCTCCCGTAACCAGTCAGCAGTCGTCTCCCGTTTTGAGCCCCATAGCATCTCCAAGAGTAACTCGTCGTCAAACAACTGCACTAACGTTTAAACAAACCACGGCAGGCCCTCGTACGTCTCCTGTGCCGCCTATTTTCGACAACAATCAACAAGAAGCAGGAGCACCCATTGTTAGACGGTACACTCTATCTGCAGTGGACATGGGCAAGTTACAAAACACGGCTGGTATCATGACACTCTTAACACCGCCGACACACTCTTCCACTGCTGAAATTGACACCAGGAGGGTAGGGCTGGAGGGATGTTTTGCCCCTCCTGGGCTGAGGAAGAGCAAGAGCGATCTCACAGATTGGATGTCCATTTCACGCAATTTACAGGGTAAAGAGTTTGTAGAAATCGGGCCAAGTCCTGGGCCAAGCATTCAAAGCTTTCAGCAGCATGTCGGCAACAACAAGGAAGGAAGCGATACTGCCGAGTTCCAGTTACCCAGTATAAAGAAAGGAAGCCGTTCAATGATCATTACTACCACAGAAGGCAAACCTCAGAATGCTGAACACAGAATGGAATTGGCATTACCATGGCCAAATAATGCCGACAAACAACGTTTGTGCTTCTCTGGTCAGGAATTGTCTTTGGATGATCAAAGACGATCGCCGAGCCCCGGACGCACCTCGCTTCCTTCATCACCAAAAGACCTGACAGTCGCATCAACAACTGGCACCTGTGACGCCGTCGCTACAGCCAAAGCAGCTGATTTGTCGCCGCCAAGGGGCTCAGAGAACTCATCGGGAGATGTGCTTCCAGACCTTCTTTTAAACTCTCCCACGAGAGCACACTACACAGAGGAAAATAATTCCAAGTTGGGGGAAAGCGTAAAAGTAAATTCAACGAATTTCAACCTCAGAAATATCAAAGACGCCCTTGCCTCGAATTCAAACGTTTCTGAGGATCGCAACGCTGCTTCACCTCCCAACCAGCAGCGAGTTAGTCCCAGACTCCGCTCAGCCACACTTCTACCACCGCTGACAATTTCCAACAGGCGATCGCCGACACATGACCTGGAAGATGGTTATTTTTCAGGCTCACCTTCACCAGCGGATGTGGAAAGTCCAAGAAGAAAATCAAGCAGTGAGTATCTGCGGTATTCATTTCGACCAATATCCCCCCGTTCCCCAATTCGCTCACCAAAGTTTAACACGGGAAAATCATCTCAGCCACGTTAGAGCTAGGTAGTCTATGGAAGGTTTGGCGCCTGTGATCGATATATTCCAAGCCATGACTGACTTACAACTGCAGAAATAGTTTGTTGAATAAAGTGGACGAAAATGACCTAAATTACTGCATATTGATAGAAGACGAGAAAAGTTTCATCGCTTAGATCAGGATTGTAAATCACTCAAAATGAAACAAGTTAAACAATATCAGCAATAAAATCTTACTAATAATGAAACGTTTGAAAATCGCTTTATTCGCCAGCATGGTCCGTATACACCAAGCGCGCAAGAATTGAAGCAGAATTCTATAGCTTCTAAAGAGGTGATTTAAAAGGTTAATATAAAGTTTTGTACTTTAGACACTTTTTCAGAAAATAAATCCTACGGCGGCGTTAGGAAATAGCTTTGGTTGCGCCCCATTTAGGAATTTTGAATGCATAACGGCTTTACCGTTTATCAACAAAGACGTTATTTTTCTTTCACATTTATCGCTATTTCTGAATATCCTGTCTCTCGTTCGATAAAAAGAAAACATCTCCTCTTGGAAACGAAACAAGTCAAACGACGAATGAAAACTCCGATCGGTCTCCATCAGTTTTGTTTCACTCCAAGCTAACATCACACCGGTTGGCCCCAGCACACGCTCCACGCGAGATTATCTCCAAACACCTCCCAAAAAGCCAGTCTCAGAAGTTAAAATGATTTCGCGGCCACTTGAAACTCCGAGTTCTCCAGTCCAAGTCAACCAGGCTGAAAAGACATTAGCTAGTTTTTGACACACCTTCAGTGAATTGTTTCTCATACACACAGAATCTGTACTGGATTTGGTTTTCTTCAATAACGCCTTGGGGCACGTCACAGGGTGTACTAAAAAAGAAAAGAGAAGTTGATCATAAAAGGTTTTAATTTAATAGAACCCTCTCTGTTAATTAACCGAGCTCAAAATTTACCATATTTCATATTTTATTTCCTCATAACGACGCTTTTTACAATGCTTATCATGGCATTTGTGCGGTGGCTCTCAAGGGCCGTCCACCTACAAAAATTTTCATGACTTTATCGCGCGATAAGTTTTGCTAAGCCCATTCATTCAAAAAATTTGCAATCAACATCATCGATATATATGTTCTATCGCGCGATAGATAAACTTAACGCGCGATAGAACAGCTTATCGCGCGATAGAACTACTTATCGCGCGATAGAACACTGTATCGCGCGATAGAACACTGTATCGCGCGATAGAACAACTTATCGCGCGATAGAACACTGTATCGCGCGATAGAACAACTATCGCGCGATAGAACAACTTATCGAGCGATAGAACAACTTATCGCGCGATGGAACAACTTATCGCGCGATAGAACAACTTATCGCGCGATAGAACAACTTATCGCGCGATAGAACAACTTATCGCGCGATAGAACAACTTATCGCGCGATAGAACACTGTATCGCGCGATAGAACAACTTATCGCGCGATAGAACAACTTATCGCGCGATAGAACAACTTATCGCGCGATAGAACAACTTATCGCGCGATAGAACAACTTATCGCGCGATGGA